TCTTCCAAAGGGATCTTTGGGGATTAGATTTCCATCACTTTCTCTCACGTTGCCACTAGTCATGTAGTGGAGATTCAAAAGCAAATCCTTTTTAAAGAAAAAGAATCTCAACTTCAAGATTTAGTGAAGAAGAAGTGGACTTCACTTAGTCTCACTTCTTGTGCTACTTCTTGTCGCCACCCGCCGAAACGGCACGTTGGCATTCGCGACGATGGTTGGACTCTTTAAAGTTTGAAAAAGTGGTTGATTGTTAGAACGACTTATTCTCAAACTGAGACCTCATCGGACTAACAATTTTATTAAATGGTTATCACCAGTCCATGTTAATCCCAAACGGGACCCTCCATGGATTAGTGGTTTTCGAAAAAAGGAAGGGTTCATGGAGTCGCCACCAATATTTTACACAAAACATGGGAAAAAGGTATAAGGCTATTGATTTCATAAATCAACTTTGGCCATTACAACCAGAGTTGGGTAAGGGAGTCGGTTACGTGCGGGGAAGGTGTTAGCACCCCACAACGCCACTTTCGGGTTCCCTATGACGGATTATTTTATAAATAATAGTCTAAAATTAATAAATCACCCCTATTTATTATAAACGATTATGAATTAAATATTTACATAATTTAAATATGTAATGCAACAATCAGAAAGCAGTAAATAAAGGCAATAAAAGAAAGGATTTAGAAAGAAACCTCCGAAGCAAGCTTTTATATATGCAAAACGACGTTTATGAGGCTTTTTGGCGCTCCTTCCCACTACAAGCTCGCTCGCTCCTTCCTAAAATAATTTTTTACTAGGGAAATCAAATAAATTTCCCCTCGACTAGTTCGAATCTCCAAGCTAAGTGCTCAGAATTCCAGAACTTTGTCGGATCGACTCTCGGAGAGATTTCTAGGGCAGAAAACTGCTCAAAAACCCCAGAATACTCAACTAGAGAGTCAAGGAGGTGTGGAAAAGTGTGAAAAGTGTGGAATGACGTCCAAATGACGTCCTATATATAGGAATGAGGCGCAGTACGGCCTCTGACATCAATACGGCCCGTACTGAAGTTTTGAACTACAGTACGGCCGTATTGAATTCAGTACGGCCGTACTGAAGTTCAAAAACTTCAGTACGACCGTATTGGTTTCAGTACGGCCGTATTGTAGTTCAAATTGTTCAGTACGGCCGTACTGAACTTCTAGGAGGCCGTATTGAGCTCCAATCCTCCCACATCCTTATTTTAAGCTACTCTAAGACTTCTAAACCTATGAAGAATCATCCTAGGGTCTTCCAGGGTCTTCCAGGAGTCCTTTCGGCTGACTTTCCTTCGGTCTTCGAGAGTCTTCGAGTCTTATTTCCGACCCGGACAATTTTAGGGGTCTACAGCTGCCCCCCTTTTCTTAGTCAAACGGCTTTTTGGTGTACCGGTTGACAAGTAAAGGAGTTGACCCAATTGTCCGGGGAGTAAGCCATCCTTCCGACTTGTAGTGTCTTCCGGTGGAAAATTGTTGAGTAGCCTCTCCAGGTTGAGTATTAGTCGTCGCCTCTCCAGGCTCGTGCATACCTCGGTGTTTCTGACAACCTCGGTAGCGTGAGTTTGCCCTCTCCAGGGTCTGCATGCCTCCGTGTTTCTGACGACGTTGGCAGCTGCATACCTCCGTGTTTCTGACGACGTCGGTAGCTGAGTATTAGTCGTCGCCTCTCCAGGCTCGTGCATACCTCGGTGTTTCTGACAACCTCGGTAGCGTGAGTTTGCCCTCTCCAGGGTCTGCGGTTTGCCCTCCCCAGGGTTGCATACCTCCGTGCTTCTGGTCACTTTGGTAGCGTGAGTTTGCCCTCTCCAGGGATTTGTGATGATTTTGTCTCCACAGTCCACGATGCTGCTTCGACGGTTCGTTTCTTCGATCTTGGTGCCGCTGAGGGCTGGATAACGCAGGGATCCGTCTAGGGGATGTGCAGTTACTCATAGGTTCTTGTGTCCCAACTTTCCATTGCGTAGTTGGTGCCCACTGGGGAATTTTTTATTCCTTGGGGTGCAGGCACAAAGATGCTCTTTCTGAGATGAGCGGTGCCTTATGGTTGGCTGACGTCCTTTCGACGTTGGTGGAGTATCCCGGTTATCCTTATTCGGGTGACTCTTTTTGATTTTTTTTTTTTGATTTTGTTGCCTCTGTGTAGGCTATCATCCGCTGGGGGATTTTGTCATGTTGGTCTTGATTTGCCTCTTCTGTTAGGCAGATTATCTTGATGTTCAATGTCTGGCTGAATGCCGAATTCCACTTGGGGAATGATTATTGATTCTTTTTTGTTTTTCTCCTTTTGAAAAGGTGCCTCTGAGTAGGCAGGTGGTGATTGGGGATCTTATGTATCCCAGAGTATTGTTTAGAAATCCTCTTCAGGCTTAGCTTCACTCGTCGCCCGAGTTGGAAAGCTATCCTCCACTGAGGAAGTCAAAGTCCTTTGACGTGGATATTTTGCTTGGGAGATCACGCTTCCATTGGGAAATATTGCTGATCTTGCTTTGATAGCTCTCACTGGGAATTCAGTCCAAGAGTGCGAGCTGAAACTTCTCTGGGGAGTATTATTTCGGCAAGCCTCTCCAGGCTCTGTTATTCAGTATGATTTTTGTGGATTTTCTATATTTTGCCTTTTTCTGTTGGTTTTTTGGCTTTTCTGTTTTTGCCTTTTTTTGTCGTTTTTGGCTTTTTCTGTATTTCTGCCTTTTTTGTCATCATTTTTTCAGCTTTTTATGTACAGAAATGAAAGTGCTAAAGGAATTTGAATTCCAAAGTGAAAAATTTCATTAATGAAATTAATTTTGTACAAGGATAATGAAAAGTGGGGCAAAGCCCAATCAAACAAATGCACGGAAAGTGAGAAAAACGGCCGGTCTTCACTCCTCTGCCGGCGGGTCCTGTGGAGGGTCTGGGAAGCGCCGGTACAGCCAGACTGACAGGCTGTCGAAGTCCTGCCTGAGGGCGTCGATACTGTGCTGGGCAGTACCGAATCGAGCATCAAAGTCCTGTCTGAGGGCGTCAATACTATGATGGGCAGTATCGAATCGAGTATCGATGCTCTGTTGCAAGGCGTCAAAGCGAGCATCGAAATAGGCCATGTCCTGCTGTGAGGTGCTGGCCTCTGGCTGCGGGTCCGCGTCACCCGGGAGCTCAATACCCTCGAAGAGCTCGCTGAATGTGTCGCGGGTGGTCGCCCGTACATACTGATTCCCCACCTTGGCAATGATCCTCATGTTAAGCAGGGTGGCAGTATTAATTGGCTTGGGCGCCAATTCCCCGGCATCTTCGCCATCGGGACATCCCCAATGCTCGGCGAGTCGTGAAAGGAGCGAGGAGACCATGATGTACCCTCGCCGAGCGTCACTTCCCTCTCGTGCCCCCAGATTCTTTACATGCTCAAGAAAGAAGAATCCAGGGTTGGCCCTCTGTCCGGTGGCCATGCAATATAGAGCCAGCAGATCCGGCCGCGTCACCGACTCTGGACTCTTAGATCTGGCATGGATGGAGCCAGTGATCAGCTTGTGGCAGATTCGGAGCGTAGTCGGGAGTTGAGTACCCTTTACTCCAGCATGGTACTCCGCCTGACCCGTGACCTCTCTCCACATATCGGTCGGGGTCAGGTTATCGGGGCACTCGCATATGGCGTCCCGATACTCCAGCTGCTCGCGCCGCTCGAAGAAACCGGCTTGGACATTGAACTCGTCCAATGACAAGGAGCGGTATCCTCCATTCATCCAGAAATCCACCGTGTGGACCGTCTCTCCGACACTGTTTGTCGACTCCACGATGCCGACGGTAGCCAAGAACTCCTTCGTCGCTGTCAAGTATACCTTAGGATGGGAGTTAAGGAGGAACCCCCATCCTATGGCAGCAATGTGGCCTCGGATGTCATCCTCCCACTCCATTGCTTGTAGGATGCTAAAGTCGAGCACCCTTGACGGCATGAAGGAGAAGGACTCAAGAAGTTCCAGCTTCTCCAAATGTCGCGCGGTCATCTCGCGTTGGGCGGGGACCCTTTGCCTTTTCCTCGATGATTCGGCCATTTCTTAGAAGTTGGGAAGCTCAAAGACACTCACAGAGAAAAAGGTATGCAGAGGGATGAGGAATGTTGTGCAGAAATGAGAGGGGAAGGGTCCTATTTATAGAAAATTTCACGTCAGTACGGCCCGTACTGAATTCAGTACGGCCGTACTGACTTGGCCGTTAGTGTGTAAAGTGAGGGACCAATACGAGCCGTATTGAATTCAATACGCCCGTATTGGTGTGTCCGTTGCGGTCAATACGGGCGTATTCAGCTCAGTACGCCCGTATTGAAGCTAAAAGGTTGCCCGTAACCCTAATTCAATACGGGCGTATTGAATTGGGTACGGGCGTATTGATTTTCTATTTTTTTTTTTTTTTGAATAAACAGAGAATAAGTGATCTTCCAGTACACCTATCATCTGTATGCATGTATGCGGTATGATGCACCTAATTCTATTTGATTCATTTTTCAAAAGAATTAACCGATGCGTTTTTTGTTTGAATTTTGCCATTCCTCTAGACGGGCTGTGCGCTGCCGATTTCTGTAACCGAGGAATGATGCGTATTATATTTGAGATGGGTGTCATCAACCTAGTGATTCTTCCCTTCCTTTAGAAGATGTGTCAACCCTCCTATTGACCACTATATCTCCATGTTTCCACTAGATTATTCTAAAATCATTTGGGACAAGAGAGAAAAGAAAGAAAGGATATATTTTTGTTCAAAGGTTTGTGTTTTAGAGGGAATTTATTTTAAAAATGGATTTTGTAAGAATGGCTGGCCAAGGTAGGCTTATGTGTTTAGGCTTGTTTGATTAAACACTCATGAAGTTAAGAAAGTCTTGTTTATTAATGTTGTGATCCGACAACTTGGATAGCTTCCCTTGAACCTTTCTTTTGAATTTGGCTCATGATACCATCATGGATTTCTTTTGCTTTTTGATTTGTCCTTATTTTTGCCTAAAACACCCTTTTGTGGTGTCTTAGCGGACCCCTTTTTTTTGTTTGCTTTTGTAACCCTAATTTTTGCCTAGGTCACCCTTTCGTGGGATTCCTAGCGGGTTTTTTACTCTTATTTTTGCGCAGCCCCCCCCCCCTTTTTGGGTTTCCTGCCGAGCTTTTTGTTTTTAGGATTTTATTTTTATCCATAATGGCATTTTTCGAGGCCAAGGAAAGGTGTTCCAAGCTGTCATGTACACTTCCACATAAAAATGATGCGGGTTTATTGTTATTAAGACAATTTTGACCTCATTCATGTTTATTCAAACAGGGTTAAATAATGCGGCCTAGAAGTTTATTGTAAGCAAGAAAAGAAGCAATAAGAAATGAATAAAGAACGATTTTATTATAATCATAATGGAAACATGTGCCCTATCGAGGCTCGGGGGTCGGGCTATCCCCGAGGAGTGATCTCTAATAGTCATCAGGTCTATATATCCCTATCAGAAGGAGAAGAGCACTTGATGATGACGACCGGCCTTGACGCTTGTGAACTGGCCTTCCTAAAGATCTGGCTTAAAGAATGTCGAGAAGGATCTTGATTCCTCTTCGTTCTTTGATCTTTGTTAGGGTTGTATCCTAACCCTTATTTCCCCGGATTCTCCTTAATGATGGGTAGCTCGGGAACTCCTTGGGAATCCTTGCCAAGTCCTTGTCCAGGCAAGTATCCGTGCTTCGTGAGCATGTAGGCTACCTTCTTCGTTTCTCGGGGAAACGTTTCAACATTGGCAATTTCCAATGCTTGGAAGGCGGTCTCTAAAGCTTCCTCTGTTGCATCCACGTAAGGTATAGCAGCTGGCTTGCTGATGAGTATGTCATCTTCAGCTTGTACAGTCACCAGTTTGTCACCCACTATGAACTTGACTTTCTGGTGGAGCGTAGAGGGAACAGCTTTCGCATCATGAATCCAAGGTCGGCCGAGGAGACAGCTGTATGCGGGAGTAATGTCCATCACTTGGAATTCGACATTAAAGATAGTGGGTCCAATTTGGATTGGAAGACTGACTTCTCCCACCACTTCTCTTTTAGAACCGTCGAAAGCTCGAACAATCATGTTGCTCGGGCGCATTTGGAGTCCCTTGATTGCCACTTGATCAAGCGTTCTTTTTGGCATCACGTTCAAGGATGATCCATTATCTACCAAGACTTTAGCGATGTGATACTCCTTGCACTTTACAGAGATGTGCAAGGGTTTGTTGTGGTTCGGTCCCTCGGCGGGGATCTCTTCATCGGTGAAGGTGAGGTGATCATTAGCCGTGATGTGACTAACAATCCCCTCGAACTTGTCTTGGGAAATAGTGTGTGACACGTATGCCTCGTTCAAGACTTTCAACAGAGCTTGACGATGCGGTTCGGAGCTTAGGATCAACGACAACAGTGTAATCTTTGCTGGAGTCCTGTGAAGTTGATCCACGATGGAGTACTCACTTTGTCGGATAAACTTTAGCAGCTCATCAGTCTCCTCCTCGGATTCCTTATTCTCCTCGGTTTTATTGCTTCCTTTTTCTTTTCATTTATCCTTGGGAGCTTTGTCATGAAGATCTTCGGGAGTGTAGATCCGGCCACTCCTAGTCATGCCCCCAAGTCCAGCGATGTTAGAGATGTCGCTGGCGGCAGAAGAATGGATGTCGTATATCCACGGCACAGCCTTATTCGATTCATAGGGAAAAGGTCTTGGAACCGTTATCTTCAGCAGTGTCGGGCCTTCCCCTTTATTTATCTTGATTACCAACAATGGAGTTGACGCGTGTTCGTTTGGCGCGGTTGTTGGCTTACTCTTAATAACGAATGGCGTGCGATCCATTCTGAACAAACGCATCGATTAATTCTTTCTTTTTATTAATGTTATTAATAAATTACTAGGAGAGATATATGCAAATGAATGACTATGAAATGCAAAGACAATTGAAAGATTTCACAGATCTCAAAAATTTGATTTTATTGATCATAGAAAGTGTACAACTTATTATACAATGC